TGTATTAAATTATAAAATATAAATTATAAAATTTAAAAGAATCCTTAATATCAAGAATTTAACATTTTCAATAGTTAATATTGTATAATTTAATATATTTAGGGGTTGGTACTTGTCTATCTTACCTCTAAAAAATTAAAAAGAAAAAAGACAAATATCACCTTAATACATATTTTAAAAATAAGGTAATTTAATTTTTTTCAATAAAAATTTATTGAAACGACATAGTTTTAGAATAATTTTCCTCCTAATCTTTAGGAAGTAAGGCTGACAGGTACTTTTTCCATATATTTAAAATACAAAGCACTTTTTTCTTAATTTAATTTGTGGGTGTGATTATGACCACCAGTAAAATTATTAACAGTCACCAAAATAAACATAAAAAAAGTTAATTTTATTTAATTTAATTGTTAAAAATATGTAATAATTGATAAAATAAATAATATTTACTACTTAATAAATTAAAATTAATTTCTAAACTACTCAATTCGTTTATCTTTAATATATTTAATTTGACTTTTTAATTTTTAAAATATAAATTTTAAATAAAAATTTAACAAATATATAAACAACAATTGAAAATTTTTTCCCCTATATATAGTTCTTGTTCAAGATTTTTATTTAATGAAAAAATTTTATTTTTTTATATAAATTATTAAATTTTTATTTAAAATTTATGTCCTAAAATTAGAAAATTAAATTAAATTTATTAAAAATAATTAGAGTCAGCTATACTTTTAGGTATCATATCTATTTGCCCAAAGGCAATACCCACAAATGTCAATCATATTGTATGCAAATCTAATAATCTCAACAATTCTATTGGTTCCCGTAACGACATCCGTGCGGTTGTTGTAGATAGTTTCATTTTTCATGAGGGGTTGTTGTAGATAGTTACGTGGGGTCCTTCCTAAGTACTAACTTTAGGATGGATTGTTGAAAACTTATTGGGAAAATAAACCTAAAAGTATAAAACGTGTTGTTTAATTTATAAAAAAAATAGAATACAAGTTAACGACTTAAATAATTTAATGGTTAATATTTTTTATTAAAAATAAAAATTTTGAATTTAAATCATATGATATGCATGTAAGATGAAACAAAAAATAAAATATACTTGTTTCTTATTGTGCAACTAAAAAATAAAAAAAGAATACAAGTAAAGCGAGTAACGATGGAATGATATAATAATTTACACTTTATGATTTGATATTAAATAAATATATATTAATTTATGTATGTCTTCTTGGATTGAAAAAGTAATCATAATAAAATACCGTCATGTTGTAAAAAAAAAAAAAATCATGTTTTGTAGTTCTAGATTTTTTTTTTTTATGGAAATTTAGCCATAGTTTTTTGTTGTAAAAATTATGTGATTAGAATTAT